TACCTGAAATTATATTCGGGATTCGAGATTCTACTATTCTACTGTAACTTAGGGAATATTCCTCTTTGAGGGGATGTTGGAAGGTCTGGGTAAGCCGCGGAAGCCCCCAGTGAACCCTTGCTTGTGCGTCTATCCGAACCTGGTATGCCCTAGCTTTGACGGTGCCAGCTCGTTGGGATTGTGGCTGCAGAGTTTCACTTCAGAAGATGCATTCTTATGTGCTCTAGCTTGGATTTACATCTCTATCACACTTTAAGAGGCCTTATCAACCTTATCAAACCCCGAAACTTGAAATGCCCTGCTGACATCCATGTAACCGAAAAGGCCCGTAGCTCTTCCAACTCAGGATCCTCAACAAAACGGTTTAGGGTTTAGGGTTTAGGGTTTGGGTTTAGGGTTTAGGGGTTTAGGGTTTAGGGTTTAGGGGTTTAGGGTTTAGGGTTTAGGGTTTTGAGCTAAGTCGCCGAGATCTTCGTCACGGCATTGTCCCGCGGAAGGACGCCGCTCTTGTGAAAGGCCTCTTGGGGCTTAGGGCGTCTTAGATTCTAGCACCCTGAACAGTTCAAACTCTCTAAGATACATAGGCCATATATATATATATATACACACCCAAAGTTTAGAATTTCCCCAATTGGCTCTGTATGAAAAAACCCTACATGCTGAGGGTAGTTTGGTGGGAGCCGGGTTTGGAGGGAGGGCTGAAATGAATCTGAAAAGCCCTGAACCAAGAGCTTTGGAACGAGGACCCTGGTGGTTTGGAGTTTAGGGCTTTAGGCTAATTAGGGTTTAGGGCTAAGGGGGGTTATTTGTAGGGTGTTGAAGGTTTGGTATAGAGGGCTTTACTCGCAGGAATCGGGTTTCAGCCGGGTTATACCAAGAGTAGAAAGTGGAAACATCTAGGAACTACAGGGCAGTATGAGTCTTACTGACACGGTGGCGCTGAGGTCATCTAGAAGACTTCGGTCCCCATGGAGGTGCTTTCGTTTTCCCTTAGCATCAAAATCGCCCGAAAGCCTTTTACAATAGGGTCTTTGGGACCAAAAGCCTTAAAATACGAGTCCTCCGAGGGTAAGGGTTTACGGTTTAAGTTCGACAGGAGTTTCTATGACATGCCAGGGACCGCGGCCCTAAACCCGAAACCCTGAAGTTCCCTGAAGTATAGGGTTTAGGGTTTAGGGTTTAGGGTTTAGGGTTTAGGGCTTAGGGTTTGGGGTTTAGGGTTTAGGGTTTAGAGTATAGAGTATAGAAGATCAGAAGACCACAACTGTTCAAAGCAAGCGTATTCCCTACCTGGCCCCGCCAAAGTATGTAGCAAAATAGCCTTTCGCGGGCATTGGACCATGATTTTATGTACTCTTGGAGGTCTTGTCGGCTCTAGCACTTCTGGGGTCTTTAGGGTTTGGGTTTAGGGTCTAGGGCTGGGTTTGGAAAATCTTCGACTAACGACCTCACCCCTGCAAGAAGCAGGCAGGGTTTACTGTCTCGGGTCCGCCCGGGTTATGGTTTAGGGTTTAGGCTGTGGGCTGTCTGCATGGAGCCAGAACTCTACCCTTGGCTTGGCAAGTAAACCGTGACCTCCAACACTGTATAGAACCCAAACCTTCCAATATCCCTTAATTCAGGAATACACCTTAAATCATACTAGGCATCCTGCTAAAAATTGCGGTATTTCCCTTAAGCAAGGGACTTTGAAAGGTCTGGGTAGAAGAAGAGAGGCCTTGCAAACCTAGCGTATTCCCGCGGCAGCTTCCAAATCATGAACTGCAGACAAACAGCAAACAGCTTCGGGTTTACAGCTGTTGCTAAGTTCGCAGTCCCTAAACCCTAAACCCTACACCCTGAACCCTAAACCCCCTAAAAGTTTAAGGTCTCGGGCGTAGGTTCCCTAAACCCCAAACCCTAGCTTAAAGCATCAAAGAACCCGATGCCAGTGTCCCACGCGATTCCGTCCTGGGTCAACCACTCTGGTCCCATCTGAACGATCATGTCCTCCACAGCTTCAATGTTCAAGAAAATACTGAGACTATACAGTGTATCTTCAACAATAAATATGATACTAAATTGAGTGTGCAGGCATCAACATAGCCAACGTCGCCAACGAAAGGGACTGCTGACACAGTGGGATTGACATGTTTCTGTTTTAGGCTGTTGGAGAGCTTGCAGCTTATGGCATCACACTTAGCCCTAGACATAGGGGGCTTTTAAGGATTTAGGACCCTAAACCCTAAACCATGGACCACTATGGCAGTGCTCTCTAGGCGCGGAGCCTCAACTCGATCAATGCCGCTTGGCTGAGCCTCCATGAGGTTACCACTGTAGCATCCTCCGGTTTAGGGTTTAGGG